AGACAGATCCTGGACATGGGCTTCAAATGTCGTATTCCTCTTGTCAAGCTGCTCCTGAACAACAAACAACGTCAGAAGCATCTTACCTGGGCTGTTGCTCAGAAAAACAGACCTGGGCTGTTGCTCAGTGGTCCAAAGTCCTCTTTTCTGATGAGAGCAACTTTTGCATTTCATTTGGAAACCAAGGACCCAGAGTATGGAGGAAGAATGGAGAGGCACACACTGCAAGATGCTTAAAGTCCATTGTGAAGTTTCCACAGTCTGTGTCGATTTGGGGAGCCATGTCATCTGCTGGTCATTAAGTCCAGGGTCAACGCAGCCGTCTACCAGGAGATTTTGGAGCACTTCATGCTTCCTTCCGCAGACGAGCTTTATGGGGTTGCTGACTTCATTTTCCAGCAGGACTTGGCACCTGCCCACACTGCCAAAAGCACCAAAACCTAGTTCAACAACCGTGGGATTACTGTGCTTGATTGGCCAGCAAACTCGCCTGACCTGAACCCCATAGAGAATCTATGAGAGACATGAGACCGAACAATGCAGAAGAGCTGAAGGCCGCTATTGAAGCATCCTGGTCTTCCATAACACCTCAGCAGTGCCACAGGCTGATAGCTTCCATGCCACGCCACATCGAGGCAGTAATTGCTGCAAAAGGGGCCCAAACCAAGTACTGAGTACACATGCATGCTTATACTTTTCAGAGGTCCGATATTGTTCTATGTACAATCCTTGTTTTATTGATTGCATGTAATATTCTAATTTCTGAGATTGTGGATTTGGGGTTTTTCATGAACTGTAAGCCATAATCATCACAATTATGACAAATCACGGCTTGAACTATCTTGCTTTGCATGTAATGAGTCTATCTCATATATTAGTTTCACCTTTTAAGCTGCATTACTGAAATATAAATGAACTTTTGCACAATATTCTAATTTTTCGAGTTATACCTGAACAATTTTCACTGAAATTTAAAAAAAATAAAAAAAACCTTAAAAAAAAATATCACCAGGTACAGCTAAGATTGTGGATTGCCAAGCATAGCCAGGTTGACCATGAAACAAATTGACATGCTTGAGGAAAATATTCTTCTATAAGAGGTGTTCAGTACGTTATGGACAGGACAGAAGAAAGGATGTCTGTTGTCACATGAATGTAGGAAACCTAGGCTTTGGGATATTTTTATTAAATCCCTGTTCACAACTGTGTGACTTGGTTTACAGGATTACCATTTTTTTCTATGGTGCTTATTTATACCTGTGCATTTCTCTTCTGCTCTTTGTGAAGAAAAAAGTACAGGGATTTTTTTGGGGGGTGCATGAATGTATGTTTTCAGCCCCATGGACATCACGAGAGCATGAAAAATACATGCAAAAGCTTTAAAAAATGCACTAAAAATTAATGAAAATGCAGACACTCAAGTGTGATCCTAACTTAAAAATGGAAAGCACTAAAAAGATGTGTGTATTAGGCATTCCTAGCAGAATAACACATCATAAAATGAAGCCTCAACACTATATGAGGAAGTTTAAGAAAAAAGAGAGGAAAAAGACTCCTTTATAAGTCAGATATAAGATTCCATGGTCAGTTAAAAAAAAAAAAGATTGATAACTAGTCAATATATAGAAAAAAATTTGACACATTTTACGGGAGGCGTTTTTCAAGTGCTATTTCTTAGACCTATATTTTCAAATGTCAGATCATACATTTTCTTTCTATAAAATTACAGAGATCCTGAAATTGTTGGAAAATGTAACATGCTGCAATGAATAAGAATAATTATATACATGCATTCACATAAGAAGTTCTCAGTATCTGAATCTTCATTCTTAAGTTATTATAAAGGCACAGCTTTATCTTTTGGGGGGGGGGTGTTTGTGGGGGTGGGTGTGTGTGTGTGTGTGTGTGTGTGTGTGGGGTGTGTGTGTGGGGGTGTTGATATTCACACTTTTATACTCTCCTTGTAACAGCAAAATACCAATCCAAGGTTGGACTCCCAGAAGGGGATGATAGCCAATACACTCTCTGAGATGTCAGATAAGGATGAAACTGTCAATAAACAAAAGCATTTTATTTTCTTTCATGTGATCTTAGCATCGCCATTTGTTATGACAATTGGCCATAGATGATGTGATTTTCTTTCCTGAAACTATGGGTTTCAGGAAAGAAAACTCCTCAATCGCTCATTTTCCCCTAGTCATTCAGTGTTGATGGGGGAGTCCTTCCCATGGAGCCACTGTGTTTTCCCGGCTGGGGGTTGCAGGGAGCCATACCTGCCAGAAGAACACGGCGAGTATTGCTAGTGGCTATAGCCACTGGCAATAATTGCATGAAAAATCCAACACGCTGGTTGTACCCAAGTCTTACAACAATGAAGTTGAGTACAATCAGCCTGCCCATAGATGGTTTGAATATCGGCCAGTCCCTGCTGAACCTTGAACCATCTTTGTCCGGCTTTACAGCTTGATACTTACCATTATACTTCTGCTCTTAGAGAGAGAGAATACAAGTACCGTATTTTCCGGCGTATAAGACGACTTTTTACCCTTTGAAAATCTTCTCTAAAGTCAGGGGTCGCCTTATACGCCGGTATACGGCATGCTGATACTTTTTAGGGGGGCGGCGCGGTGCAACTGCCGCCCCCCCTTCCAAGGGACACTAAGTACAGGGGTGGGCAGGGGCTGCTGTCTCTTACCTGGCTCCGGTCCCACAACGATCCGGTCCAGGAAGCGCGGCTGCTCCTTCATTCGGTTCGGCCACTGGATGTTCGCGCGGCTGCTCGGCTCCGCCTCCTCACCGGTGATTGGCCTCCAGAACTGTAGCTCAGGAAAGGCACACAGGCGGCCAATCACCGGCGAGGAGGCGGAGCCGAGGGGCCCCGCGAAAATCGAGTGAAGGAGTGGCCGGTAAGTGTGCCGTCCAGAGGTGCTGCTGCAACCACATATGCTGGCTGCAGCAGCACCATACTAGAACGGGGGTCAGCAAGAGTAATTGGTGTGAGTGGGAGGAATAGTGCCCCATCATTGGTATCACTGATACCAATGATGGGGCATTATTCCTCCCGCTGACACCAACGATGGGGCACTATTCCTCCCGCCCACTGACACCAACGATGGGGCACTATTCCACCCCCCACTGACACCAATGATGGGGCACTATTCCACCCCCCACTGACACCAATGTTGGGACACTATTCCTCCCACTGACACCAATGTTGGGACACTATTCCTCCCATTGACACCAATGATGGGGCACGATTCCTCCCACTGACACCAAAGATGAGGCACTATTCTCCCCACTGATACTAATGATGGGGCACTATTCCTGCCACTAATACCAATGATGGGGCACGGTTCCTCCCACTAATACCAATGATGGGGCACGATTCCTCCCACTGATACCAATGATGGGGCACGATTCCTCCGACTGACACCAAAGATGGGGCACTATTCCCCCCACTGATACTATGGGGCACGATTCCTGCCACTGATACCAATGATGGGGCACTATTCCTGCCACTGATACCAATGATGGGGCACGATTCCTCCCACTGACACCAATGATGGGGCACGATTCCTCCCACTGACACCAATGATGGGGTGCTATTCCTCCCACTGACACCAATGATGGGGCACTATTCCTCCCGCCCACTGACACCAACGATGGGGCACTATTCCACCCCCCACTGACACCAATGATGGGGCACTATTCCACCCCCCACTGACACCAATGTTGGGACACTATTCCTCCCACTGACACCAATGTTGGGACACTATTCCTCCCATTGACACCAATGATGGGGCACGATTCCTCCCACTGACACCAAAGATGGGGCACTATTCTCCCCACTGATACTAATGATGGGGCACTATTCCTGCCACTAATACCAATGATGGGGCACGATTCCTCCCACTAATACCAATGATGGGACACGATTCCACCCACTGATACCAATGATGGGGCACGATTCCTCTGACTGACACCAAAGATGGGGCACTATTCCCCCCACTGATACTAATGATGGGGCACGATTCCTGCCACTGATACCAATGACGGGGCACTATTCCTGCCACTGATACCAATGATGGGGCACGATTCCTCCCACTGACACCAATGATGGGGCACGATTCCTCCCACTGACACCAATGATGGGGTGCTATTCCTCCCACTGACACCAATGATGGGGCACGATTCATCGCTCTGACACCAATGATGGGGCACTATTCCTCCCACTGTTACCAATGATGGGGCACTATTCCTCCCACTAATACCAATGATGGGGCACTATTCCTCCCACTAATACCAATGATGGGGCACTATTCCTCCCACTAATACCAATGATGGGGCACTATTCCTCCCACTGATATCAATGACGGGACACTATTCTTCCCACTGACACCAATGATGGGGCACTATTCCTCCCACTGATACCAATGATGGGGCACTATTCCTCCCACTGACACCAATGATGGGACACTATTCCTCCCACTGATACCAATGATGGGGCACTATTCCTCCCACTGACACCAATGATGGGGCACAATTCTTCCCACTGACACCAATGATGGGGCACGATTCTTCCCACTGACACCAGTGATGGGACACTATTCCTCCCACTGATACCAATGATGGGACACTATTCCTCCCACTGACACCAGTGATGGGACACTATTCCTCCCACTGATACCAATGATGGGGCACTATTCTTCCCACTGGTGTGCATTGGAAGAGGGGTAGTCTTATACAGCGAGTATAGCCCAAACACTACATTTTAACAGGAAAAGTAGGGGGTCGTCTTATACGCCCAGTCGTCTTATACGCCGGAAAATACGGTATATAATTAAAAGCAAGCATCTCTGAAAGGTTGCACTATTATATCAGTTCAAATATATAGATTCAAATGACTACATTTGTTTACTGGTAACTTTTATTCTTTAGGCAAGCTGTTTAAACAATATAAACAAGTAGTCATCTTCCAAGCATTTCTCATTAGTTCACTTTTAATAACGGCCTGCAAGCTCACACAAACTTGACATACAGTAGCAATAGATCATTTCCTTAAAGGTTTTTCTTAACTCTTGGCTGCGCAGAGCATAAATAAAAGGATCAATGACAGAATTACACATGATAAGAATAAGATAAATATTGAAGTGTGACATAAAACATACACAATAAGGGTTGTGGGGACAAGAGATATAGAAAATTAAATGCAAAAAGAAAGGAGCCCAACAGACTACAAAAACTCCCAGCAAGATAGTTAATGTGATCGCTCCTTTCATGTTGGCTCCTTGGCGTATGGTGTTAGTTCTTGGTAAAACTGCAATCCTTTTCATATGTAACCTGGCCAGCATGAACATGTGCACATACAGAGATACCATGAGTGCAAGCATAGTGAAGATTATACTGATTAGGCAAATGATGACCACATTGCTATCATAATATACAATAAACAACACACCAGAGATCATACATGCTGTCCAAATACAGGTGATAATTATAAATGTTCGCTTCACTGTGATGATGTTGTGATACTGAAGAGCATAGAAAATTGTGAAGTACCTGTCCACTGCTATAGACAGCAGACTGCATATGGATGCAAGCAGGGAGCTGCAGATGATTGAATCTAGGATATTATCAATGTTCTCAATGAGGTTCTGTGCCTTCCTATCTGTATGGTTGGACAGAGTAATCACAACAGTCTCAAATCCATTGGATACACTCACAAGCATGTCAGCCACAGCCAAGCTGCAGATAAAGAAATACATAGGAGAATGCAGGTTCTTGTTTCGAGATATCGCTGCCACCACCAGAATATTTTCCAGTAGGCTTACAATGCCAAGAATTACGAACACTTCGGGTTTCACAAACAGTTGCTCATAGCATCCTCCAGAGGGATGGTTCTTTTCAGCGCTCTCATTGGCTCCGACATGCAAGCCATAGCTGTGATTTCGCAGGTGCATTAAATGCAGCCTGTGGTGATGGTGAAGATGATGTGTTAAATTCATATTGTACGCTCATTAGCTGGAAAACATAAACGCTTTTCAGAAACAGCTAAACTGCTAGCGATTAACTTTTCATTTTCTATAATTCCAGATAGAAATATTTCTTGTTATGCATCCAGGTTCTAATCTTCAGTAGCTTCAGTCCCTTGTCTCATCCATCCATCACTGTTGAGTCAGTAATGCTTCACCTCCTCTCCCAATATTCTCTTTTCACTCTGAAGACATTGGTCTCCTGTGAAAATAATTGCTGGTCTCCTGTGCAAATATTAATTCCATTATATATGAAGTATCCCTGTTGTGAACAGGAGATTTCAGTTAGGCAGCATATAGCAGCTTACCAGCTGATGATTTTATACACCGTGTAAAACGTGTAAAACAGAATGAAAAGACTTGCTCCCTCCTCTGTTTTGACTGGTAGCCAATCAGCATGAAGGGAAGCTTGTGTCAGCATGGTAATTGTTCAGCAATCGCAGCAGAAATCATAATCCATTTCATGCTGTAGTATTTTCTGTAATGCATGTTGCAAGGCACAAATATATTGAGAGAAAGCAACTCTTGCCTATTATCTCTCACAACAGTCTGTTTAGCACTGCACAGGGGAAAAAGACAGTGAAATATAAGGTGTGAAATAAATATATATATACACCGGTATATATATATATATATATATATATATATATTACACCGTAAGTACAAAAATTATTGGGAAGATATTTTAGCATGGATAAAAAAAGATATCATTTTTAAGTTTGTAAAAGAACCCATTCAAATTTTATTCCATAACACAGTATACACTGTAACAGCACACTACCTTTTCTCTTAAATGCAGCTAAAAGTCTTATACTGCATTACTGGAGGAGTGATAAATGCCCTACATTGCTGGATTGGAGAATAGAAGTAGACAGGGTTAGGGAGGCAGAATTCTGGGGTCATAAATAGAGATGAGCGAATCGAACTTGGCGAAGTGGAATTCGTTTCGAATATTAGGAAAAATTCGATTCGCACCGAATCCGAATATTAGCAAACTTCGGATGCGCGAATCGAATTTGTAAAGGGAGCTATAATACATTTTATCAGATGTGGGCTACATGGATTCAATATTCTGCACAGATTAAATTAAGAGAGAATATATAAGATTGCTGAATTTTATTATTGTTTGTCTATACACGCCAATGAGGAAATTGTTTTTAGGGGTTAAAATAGCTGTTTGTATATGTAGAGACAATGAAAGCTGGCCGCACTCCATCAATGTAGCAGATAAAACTTTCATGTATTGGATCCTCATAATTAATACAGCATAGATCACAACTCCAATGTAAGGACAGAGGAAAGTTAACACCTTTCACACAAAGTACTGTGCTTAGTCATAACATAACATAAGCTATGACTAAGCGCACGTTTTTGTGGTGTGAAACGCATTAACTTTCCTCTGTCCTTACATTAGAGTTGTGATCTACTGTATGCTGTTTTTATTATGAGGATTCAATAAATGGAGATTTTATCTGCTACATCGAGGGAGTGCTATCACCTTTCATTGTTTCTGCATGTTTTCACGGTCACAGATCAGACCGGCACCTGTTGATGCTCAGAGTGGTGGATGGTTTACTTGCTCACCAGAATCGGTTCTTTCATCTCTTTATATTCAGCTGTTTGTACATCCCCATAACTAGTAGAAAATACATTAAAGTGAAAATAATCTAAAATGTACATAATATGTTGAATGTATAGTGGTAATGAATGTATTTCGTTGACTTCTTTTTGTTTTTTAACCTTTTTTTCTTTTCTCTCCCTTTTTTTGTATATTATTTTAAGCAAGACCAATATTGTAAGTATATATAACTAAAACACCTGCACTCTATTATCCCCCCTGTTACACAATAGCTGCTGTGATATACACAATAATGTGCAAAAGTAAATATAAACCAAGATATACAGCATTTACATAAAAAGTACAATACAAATAAAGTGCAAAACAATAAAGTGTCCACATGTGATTCCTAAAAAATATGGTGCAAACCAACAATGTCCACATGTGATTCCTGTTATTGTAACACAATAACGTTTATAGGAAACTACATATATATTTTATAAACATGTCCATCATCCATAAAGTGCAACCATTCTTCTGCAACGGAGTGAAATAATATAAAACGTATGAAAAATAAAGTGATTCATTCAAAATCCACCACTTCCTGATTCCACATGTGTGTACCACCACCATCACAGAGAACTCACCAGACAGCCATGACCTTCTCAATTAAGAGTTGGTCTATATGCTCTTGTTTGTATGTATGGATTCCCCCACTCCAGTAAGTCAATCCACCATGCTCCTCAGTGCAAGCTTTGCCAAAGATGCCAGAAGGAGGCTCCAATAGTGTAAAAATGCCCTTTATTAAAATTTACATCAACATGTAAATCTGCTCACATTTCATAGTGCATTAAGCCCTGCACCTCAGTTTAAACATTCAATGTATTGCCCGGCTCTCTCTGCCTCACAAATCCAAGAATGCTCCACACTACATGCGCATCTCACCACTTCCGTGTCACCAGGTTGTAACTTCCTGTAGCTCTGCCTCAACGTACGTTTCATCATGTTGATGTCATCAAGAGGAGTGACAGGAAGTTCGCAGTGTATCTTTATATATCGTTTTGGTTAACCGTTTACACACCAATTATTAATGTGCGCTTATACAACTACTTACATCACTGTCTGACAAAAGCAACAAATTTGCTACCAACCACCCATCAATAAAAAAAATAGACCTATATATAGTTATTCCACCTTCCAGTTCCCCAAACGATGTACATCAGTCAGTATGTGGCAGGGGCAGACTGACCATTTGGAAACTCGGGCACTGCCCGAGGGCCTGAGGTCAGTAGGGGGCCCCATGAGATGTCCCTGGTACCTTTTTCATAGGCTTTTTTGAGTTTGGGCAAGGACACAGGGGCCCCATGATCCCCTTTTGCCCGGGGCCCCATGAGTTGCCAGTCCGCCCCTGGTATGTGGTATTAAACAAAGTTGGAATAAGATCTTATACTGATTACACATGAAACCTACTTATATAAAAAAAATTAATATGTACATGCCCTAAAAGGCATATTTGAAGAGACCCAGGAATAAGTACATACACTAAAAACATAATAAAACACCCTTATAGTTGAGGAGATCCAGGAGTTTAACTTCCCTAACGGTCTGATTATGTCAGTATTTCTGTGCTCAAAGCGGTACATTTTTTTGCATGGAAATATGTTGTTTTTTTATTGTAGGCCTGTAATTTTTAGGAATAACTCACTGAAATCTGTCCAAACAAGAGTCTAGTAAACATCCCGGGTATGTTAAAATTTGAAACACGAAATCATAAATTATAATTTAATAAATAATCATAAAAAAACAATAATATAATAATAAATTTAATTCAATAATATAATCAAACCAAAACAGTGAAATTTGAAATAGAGCGCCAAGTTCGCACATCACTGAACAAAGTCGCAAAATCGTTTTCAGTGTGTGATGACGAATTTCCCCACAAATCATTATCACTCAATTCTGCAAGTGGTTCTGATTTACTATCGCTGTTCTCTATCTGGTCTAAAACTGCTTTTGACCTAAAGGGATGCTTTTTGGACGCCATGGACGTTTCTCAGTTTCCAGGCAGAAAGAACAGTAAAAATGCAGGCAGGGCACAGGACAAAGTACTCGGGACAAAATGTATGTGAAATGGTTTGATACAGTAATGTAATACTATCAGATTTTAGTGTATTGAGTGAAAGTCACTTTTACAACTTTCAAATTTCCCGCCAGTTCCGTCCCCCATACGTCCCAACATCGCAGGGAACGGAACTCAGAAGACAGATGCCGGCATCGGCCGGAAGACATTACAGGGGATACTGCAGGGGGGACATCGCGGGAGCGCAGGACAAGGTGAGTGAAGAAGAGATCCCGGAGCAACGCTGCAGTGTAAACCCGAGTGTAGCTCGGGGTTACCGCTTGTGGTGCTGAAACTTTACCCCGAGCTACACTCGGGAATATGGCCAGGGGGTTAATAATTCCTAATAAAGCAGTTAAGGTCAATATCTGTATTAAAACCTTTGGTGGGTTAATGTGTCCAACATATATATCAATTTGGTTTCATTTTGGGATATCATTTGTTTTTTATTTTGTCCTCTTGACATTAGACGAAAAATTGGTCCTTTTTCTATCTTTGTTTGCTAGTTCTGCATGCTATACATTTTTGACATCTATAAAACCCCTTTACATTTAAGAAATTACTGCTCCTAGAGGGAGGATTTATGACATTTTTCACTATCATGTTCCTTAGGGCTTTGGCTTTCTTCTAAAATTTAGGATGCTCCGGCAATTCTTTTCCTAATGTTTTGTCTTTCTTTAGGATAGGCCAATGTGTTTTTATAGTTTTCTCCACTGTTTTATAGTCACCATTAAAGTCTGTGATAAATGCATATTCCATTGATTATACAAACTCTGTGTATAAGCGAAAAATGGATATAATATCAATAATAACAAATTGACAAATTAATCCATCAAGGGCTTACAACATCGCGCCACACTGACGTGAATACCATAACATTTCAAAAATGATTGGAGACGCTATTTTAAACAAAATAGCACAGTGTGTAAATAAATGGAAATACCATAAACAGCGCTCTCAGCCTATATATAACCTTAAATAAAATTAAATAATCAAATAATAAATATATATATATATAAATTATATAAAAAAAAACATATAAAGAAAAAAACTGCCACCAAATAAAAAAAAAGTGCCAAAAAATAGTGACAAAAATTTGTGAAATATCAAAACATTCAAAAAACGTCCATGACATGGTATAGTCCATATATAATTCCTTCAAATAATATATATTCTCCACAACCGTGAATTCCTTTGTGCTCAACACCCCATCAAAGTGCAACTCACCAGATGCTGGTGTTTAATCAGCATATCTTTCAAATATCAGTAGATGTGGAAGACAGCAAAACAAGGATT